AAACATAGTACAAAAGAGGATTTTAATAATTTGGTATATTGTATGAGTGGAAATGAAAAAGTGACTCATTTTTTTTTCATGTTTCCCTTTTCACGTGCGGCGCACAAAGGAAAAATCCACAATAGTGGAAATGAAGAAAACTTTAAATGGATTTTAATTAAAATGACTCATATTTCTCATTTTCCACACTGCACGTCTCCCAAATGAAACACATTCTACAATCGTGGGGTAAAAAATGTGGAAAACTCACGAGTGAAGATATGATGATATATTAAATCAATAATGGAGCTCTCACTGATGACCGAGCAGCAGCATTTCAGTGTCTTTTCGGTGAGAAGTTTGGTGCCTTGTAAGAAAATGATGGGGCGACTTGCGGAGGAATTTGTCACACTTCAGTCACACTCATTTCTCCCCAGAGAGAATGCAGTTTGTTGATGTAGCCAAGAACTCTTTTTCACCCACAGCATCCCAAATTATTCATCATAGAGCACTTTAGCAGAAAGAGTGAGTGCTTTGTAGTGAAGAAAAATCACTGGCGAATGTATGACATATTTTGACATTGAGAAGATTTATCTATAAATAAAGAGATATAAATCATTATTTTTCCTCCCGGAGGGTTAATGTAATTTATGTGTTATTCTTACCATCCTCTTCACTGTATCATGTCGCATTCTCGCCATCTCGAGTATCCAATTTGTGTCAATTGTTTCAATTTTCGTCTTAATTCATGGTGACACAGTGAAATCCGAACCACATCAATATTAAATATTTTATTCTCCCTTTTTTTTCGTCCACTCTTCGTGGAAGCAGGAAGTCTCTTATGGCTATATGTTGTGGACAAAATAGAAAAATTCCATCTCCGTCTTTTCCCCGCGCGCACATATTCTCAATATATATTGTGTCATCTTTCTCTCTTGTGCAAATGATTTATGGGTGGATTTCATTTAGACACGACAATTTAATAGAGTTTTTCATGCTTCCACCCTCACTCTTTGTATTTTATAACTCTGTGATTTTCCTTGGCGCCCAGGCATGAAAAAAAAGTCCATCTCTTTCCCCATCAGACCAAAAATAACCTCCATCGTGGAAAACCACTCGATGGCATCTCGTGTTTATTTATGTGTGGATGATTTTGAAAATTCAATCACGGAGAAACACGATTAATGAGCAAAGTATAATTAATTTAGTCAGAAAATTGATTTATGATGTGCCGAGTATCGGATGACCATCGAAAAACCAAGCTCCCGTGCAGCCCTTCTCGCCGAGAACCTCATCTGGCATTCGGAGGAGCGCATAAATTGAAACAGAGGGCAAGCATCGCCCAAGGGGTGGATCAATGCTGCAAACACTGCGCGATGCTCGAAGGAACTCCACATGGCCAAGGCTGTGTAGAATGAAATATTCACTTGACCTCCGTGGCTTGGAATTGCAAAATGCGCTCCTTGGAATTGACAACTTGAAAGCCCTTGGCTAATACAGCATGTCTGATGAGGGTGAAGTGACTCCTGTATGGAATTTCATTAGATTCGAGGTCAGTTTCACAGGAGAAAAATCTCGATAGTGAGCAACATTCATCCTCACACAAAATCCACGCGCTCCTCTGCGAAAAGCAATAAAGATAATGGAGAATTTTTTCAATGCTCTCCTCACAGATAACAATACCTTCTCCACACCACGAAGAAAAATGATTATTTTATTCCTCTCTCCCTCTCTCTGATAAAATCTGTGCATCAGCTTTAGCTTTTGTAAATTAAATGCAAAAATGCCAGAAATTCTACATGCAACTCTTCATATTTTGCAACTTTTTACTCTCTTTCATGTCCTCTATTCAACAAAATTAACCCACAAATGTTATCTCATGTGCATAATAAAAATCCCTCTCTTTGCGATACACTGACAGTGCTCAGTAAAAAGGACGAAAGCTCTGAGGCAAACTTCATTAATTCCGCAGCGAGTAAATAAACCGAAAAAAAATCTGTAGAAATTTTTCCATCGTGTTTCATGGCATTTTAGTGGAAATTTTCAGTTCTCTGTGACCATTTTGCCATGCATGTTTTCCTTTGTGGCGCTCGATGGTGAGAAACTCCTCGAAATATAATGCAGTGCATCGCGTCTCCCCACTTTTAACAAATATCACACGCGCGACCTCCCCGCTTAGGCTCCAAACGGAGGGTGGAAACGTCCCAATGAACACACACCGTGGGGGGTGTGGGCCTTTTTCAAACAAGTGTAATATATTAATGTCAGAAAACGTGCTCAAAACATGCAAATAGAACGTGATTTGACGATATGATTAATGTAATTATAGCACGAATTTTGTCTATGCTTTTTTCCAACACATCGCATTTTACACACATCGCTGAATTTAAAGCGCAAAGAGATGTTTCCGTGATTTTGTGCACTCTTTTATCCACCCCTTATATCCAGAATGGCTCGCAACTGACATGGCTCTTAATCAAAATGGGATTTCCACTCTCGCCCCCTGGAAAAAAGAGGTCCAGTGCGACTTGACTCACGCGCGCGTCCAGGTAAAGAGTGAATAATTTAGAGTCACATCCCGCCCCGCATCTTCAATGGGGATTTTCTCAATTAAAACCATGTCATTTGCATGAATAAAGGATAATATGGTGCACCTTGAAATGCATACGCTGTGCCAAATCCTAATGAACTGAATAATTAATACCACACGAGAATATTTAATCCACCTCTTCTGCCATCATTGATTCATATGGCATTTTGTCACGAGAGTATTATTCTATGTGGCGCAATGAAAGTTTGATGGCACTTCTTGGCTAATTCATGTGCAAAAGTCTGCTCTGCATAATAGAAATTAGTAATTTTAACTGATGATATTTTGTATAGTTTTCTCCGGTAGCATGAAATTTCACTTTATATTTAAACTGTACACTCTCAAGTTTCACCACCCCCAAGACTCACCCTCTCGCTGTGCGAGGAGGGATGTAAATTTCTCGTGCACCCAGAGAAATTGCATTCGCCAATTCATTAACAATGAGTGATTGCTTCGCTCTGAAAGTTGACAATTTAATAGAACTAACCAGAATCTATTAGTGCCCAAGTTACATGGTGATTTCATGATTTCTTTATAAGCAACGAGTGTCACTTGAAATTCCGGCGGCAAGCCGTCAAATTTCTCTGAGTATAATGTGATACAGAAGATGTCACTGTAATATTCCGCTCCATCGTCAATGGTGTTCCTTTCCTCTAATGTTCTTACATGTTTGAATGCGATATTGAAGTGTTGAAGGAAGGAAGGGATCATTTCACCGACGATGAAGAATTTCTGCTACAGTGTATATTTTTCGGTGGTACAGGAAAAGTTTTCGGTGATACATAAATATTTCATAGAGAAAATGTGTTCTCATCAACTTTTCCCCATAAGTTGGCTCGTGTGAGCACCGGAGGAGGAAAAACTCGTTGATTTCCTCCTCACAGTATGATGGACATGTTTCTCCTTTTTTCGGGTAATAGTTCCCATATGCATTTTCACATAATTTGATACACATCAAGTGGAATAGCATCAGCATGATGATGCCATGAGACACCGACTCATACCCCATCGCAGGCTGGGGTGGTTTCTGGGCTGATGATGAGAATGGCAAGAGACGAGCATGACAGAGTGCGGAGGATGGAATTTTCACCACTCACAATTATTAGTGTGGATCACTTTCATTTTAGATTAGCATTCTTTTTATCCGTCCGCCGCCAGTAATACAATTTTCGTCTCATCCACTTACGTCTCTCACACTTCACCGGCAATTTCTGCCACGGAGAGGAAGTTAGGCATGTTCTGGCGCTATCTTGACAGTAACTGATAATTTGTATAGTAAATCCCGCCCCAGCGCAACTCCTTCATGGACAATCTTCCGGATATTCTGCTCAATTTCTCGGAAGGATGAAGTTTGCGAAAAGTCACTATGTTGTTGCTAAACATCCCTCATCATTTATCCATCCCACCGCCCAGCTGAGATATTATTGTAACAAGATGGGAACTAATGAAGGATTAAAGTTTTCTCAGGTGAAAAAGTTCCCTTTCACACAGCCCATGTGAGGCTAAGCAACAATGGGCGCTGCGATAAGGGAAGTTCAACTCGAGATTGGCTCTCAGTGGGTGCCATCATGGGTGATGTAATGGCTGGCAACAATGCTCCACGGGCTGAGGAGGAGATACAGTGATAATTGTGAAGCCACATATCAAATAATCTCAATCTAATCTCGTGGAGCTTTTTGCGCCTCACGGGTGACTCCTTAATGAGTGGAATTCGAGGGTGGGGAAGAGCCCTTTTGAGCCAGGCTCTCCTGGGGTTGACTCGGCAAACCCAAATCACAGTCATTCCACCCCCGGCTCACACACGACCCATTCAATGTCTTAATTACAGATTGACTCTCTCTCGCACGATCCACCCGAAAGGGGGTGTTAATGAAGGCGCACCCCAGAGCTCCCCGGCTGCGTGTGGGGCAGGAGCTTCGGCAGCGATGAAAAGAATACTTTATTGCAAGTTTCGGCACCCCCGTGCGCCTCTCCGAAATATATTTCCATCCCATTGTGGCGGAGGAAGTGTACTCGACACATAGGGGTAAATTATAAACAGCCACCCACACGCGAGGTGGATTTATGAGTGTGAAAATGGTGACACAATCTGTTCAAATCACACAAAATTACACTTTCAGCGTGGAATGTTAATAAGTTATGCACATATATAGCGCCCACAATAGATGGCAAATGGTTGCGAGAGAAATCTTTGCTCCTGAGGTTGGCGCGCACACACAATTCTATGGAACGCAGAAACACCGACAATTTCCTCCCAACACACATACCTACACATACACACCTTTTCGCTATTATTCCCAAGACACGATTTCATAGTTGACATACATGTTCGCCTTTCTTTTCTTCCTGCAGCCCCCTTTCGAGGGTTCGCGCGTCACACACTTTGGGTGATCGTTAGCAGGGACAGAGTTAACCCACGCTCCTTGCCGCCTTTATTCATCACCATTCGGACATTCCTTCTCCTCTTCCTTGCTGTCATCGCATTCCTTCGCCGTCACACAAGCGCCTTTGCAGCTGCGAACGAAAGGGTGGCGGCAGTAGCACTGCTTCTTATCCAGAGGGCGGCAAAATCTTATGCACACTCTCTCCTCCTCGTCCTCTTGGTATAATTGCTTCAGATAGAATTTGCACGATTCACCGCAATCCGAATACACTCTATTCCTGTTTTCGTAGGCATTCCCGCATTTTCCATCATCTAGCAATTGGAAAGTGTATTAATCACCTAACAAAGTTCACACAAATCCACTTACCTGGTTTGTCAATATTGCCTGTAAAGTTCAATATAACATCTGCAGCAAAAGAACCACACCAACGAACACTTTGATCACTCGCGAAGATCATTCGAAGAACGCCAAAAGAGAGCAAAACCAGCGCAGAAACCATGTCTTTACCCAGCAAAGTTGTAAAAGCAACTGAAGAAAATTCCCTCTAGCTTTCTTGTTATGTTTCCTTATCAATTAAAACACTACATCAAATCCATTTGATTTGCAACACTGCTTAAAATCATATTCACCATGAAAAACTACAAAGATTGTGCTGTAATTCGATCTGCTATCGATCAAATAAGGCTATTCTTTAAATTTTTTGAGATAATAAATAAGTCAATCTTCCTTCATTGCAAGTTTCCTTTATTTCCCAGATATCTTACATTCGTCAGCTGTCACATATTTGCCATTGCTTCGAATGAAAGGATAGTCACAGTAGCATTTCAGCTTTCCGTCCATGCCGCAAAATTTTCTGCACGGCGTGTTTGTTTTTATGAGTTTCAAGTATCTTTTGCACGATTCACCGCAATTGGGATATGTTGTGTCAAGCTTTTCTGATCCGTACATTTCTGGGTCTCGTCACTCACTATTAACGACAAGAAGTTAGTAATAGGAAAATATGCAATACTTGCAATAAATTTTACTGCTTGTCACGTTTGAAAGCAACTGTTTTTCGTCGAATGAACCGCATTTTTTAATTTTCCCAATTGCCAAATGAAGAATTCCAATGAAGATCAGCACTGAAAAATCACTTTGCGAACCATGATTGTTTCACAAGATTGTTTGTTTCGAAAGACAGCTGAAAATATTTGTGAATTGTATAAAGAATCACATCGATAATTCTGTTTTTATACCAATAACTGATCAAAATGGGAGTAATCAGAGATTTTTAAATTCCTTTCATGCACATCAAGTGAAAATAATTGATTTCCACCTTTTTCAATAACATTTTTCTGTAAGAATTTGTAGAATCTGTGCAGGAAAACGTCCGGCGTTGACACTGAGCTCGCCTGCGAGCGACTCAGGAACAACAAGGGTCTTCGCATAAAGTCACACACAGAGACTTTTCCTCTCTGTGGGTGGTGCACACTCCCAATTTCGCTAGCAACGGCGGCGGTGCGTATAAATCAATGTGCGGTACATGGAATATTGCTGGCAGCCCTTCTTCGTCTTGGCTTCTCCTTTTATTGTGAGTGCGTGGCAGGAAACACTCTCGGGAGCCGAAGGGTTGGGCCGCCCAGGATATCTCGCCAACAATAAAAGCGACACGTGGCATTGGACAGCATCCCTGTCGCTCATCCTGATTATTGCAATCAAAATCATATTTCCCCACCCGCAAAAATACCCCTCGCAGTGCAATTATTATTTACGATTTCGCCACCCTGGCAAGGAATGCGCCGATAGATTGTGTGAATGCGAAGCCACACGGAGGATCATGGGCGCAGTCTTTTCATTTGCACCCGGCGGAAATATTGCGCTATCAGAGGATCTCCTCTCTGTGGCGTTTTATTGTGCATGAAATAAAAGATTGGCAAGAGAGGAGAAGAGCGCACACTTCATACAATGTATCGTCAATCTCTCCACATACGCGCGATGGAAATGCTGGGAAATTGTATTTTTTCGTCGTCAAAAATCTACTCAGCATCTCTCTCTCTTCCCGTCTGTGGACAGGAAATTGAAATTCCTCAGTGAATGTGGTCGCTTTGGGGGTGGGAGGCATCCAGGGTGGATGGCAAATGCGAAGAGCCCTGTGAAACTGCCTGGGAAACTCTCAAAAGACCATCACCTTCGTCAGGAGCTCAAGTCAGTTGCATAAATCTCCGCCCGATGACAAATTTTCCCTCAAGTCAGTCTGAGTATGGGAACAATATAAACTTTCCATCCACATTTAAGCGTAAGTTACCTCAATCAACCACTTACTGATACTATAAAGTTGAAACTTTCAAGTGTATTTCATGCTCAAACTTTCTCCCCCGCGCGCGTGCATTCGCCCGCAAAAGGCACGTGATGGTGTGCAGGGAATGGGGAAAAAATTACGATAATTCACCCACATAATCCTTAAAAACTTTTCTATTAAAAATTTTCCTCTTCTCTCTGTCGTAAGACCAGGAAAAATCATTAGCGCGCAGGAATTTTCTCACAGTGATGCGCTTTTTGGGAAGAAGCTCTCGGGAGAATTTAGTATCCCATTCCCGTGGGAGGGGGAAGAGGAGGAAAAACACGGCGAGAAGGAAACTTTTTGGGACGGATTCCCAAGCTCTCGGCGGGAAAGGGATGGATGTACAAATGAGACATTTAAAGTGTCTGGCAAACAGTAAAATATACAACCCAAAGTGATGGCAAAAGGATGGCGCGGAGAAGAAAAGTTTACGTACTGACAGGATGGATATAATTTGTCCGGAAAACTTCATTTAAACACTAAACACTCCTCATTGCTCTTAATAGGTCGGTGTAGCGTTAAATTCGCCCCAGCAATGCCTGCGTTGCGATGGTGTAGTAACGAAAGGCGAGCGCTCACGCTGTCTTACATGAGCAAAGAGAGTCCCATAAATATAATAAGACTGCATATCAAATAAATTGCGGTGGTATGAATGTCACCAGAGTCCCAGCTCGAAAATATAATGTGCGAGTGTCACTCAAAAGGCAAATTAGGGTGCGCTCTATCCCACCATGGCAACGCTCATCCACCCAAACGTACAAGTTATAATAACACATCCATCCGCCCCTCAAAGAGTCCCCAAACTTGTACGTGGAGGATATGTGATGCTGCCAAGGGGTGGAATTTCACCCAATGCCTGCAGGAATTCGACTTGAGCACCTTTCCTCTGAGGGAAAAAAATTTCCACAAGACCTCTGCCAAATGACGTAATCCTTGGGCCACGTGCGAGGGCATGAGGATATAAATAAATAGCGAGAATTCGAGCACATGTCAATATTCTCAAAAATCCACAAGATCATCACACGCTGAATTAATGTAGAAGCCAAAGTGCTTAGGAGTTTTGCGCCGGCATCCCTTTTATGCGATTTTCTAAAAATATCTCAAGTGGATTTCCGCTCTGGAGAGATTTACCCAAGATAAGACGCTCTGGTTGGAAAATTGCCTTCGTAATGCGAAAGTGGAGGAACTCTGATGAAATTTCAACTTGGATACAACTTGCGGGGTTGGAAAGAGTTCATGCTCAAAAGTGTCAAATTTAAGCTGTGAGTTTTGCGAATATAAAATGATGATAGAGACGTGTCTCAGGACTTTAAGGATGCACAAGCATAATTGCTCTGTGCAAGTGAAGTTTCTGCCCAATGCTGCAAACTTTCTCATAAACACACTGAATGATAATGGCATTTTCTTTCAACTGCGCGGAGCTTTTCCAAATGGCGCCTAATGGCAAATTCAGTGGCTCAGCTTTCGAGGATGAGTATCATGTGCGTGTGCTTGAATTTTTAACCGTCCCTCCGCAAATGACCGCCTTTTCGGCCCCGCCAGCCGTCAGTTCTCCATGTACAGTGTCAGATTTAATGATTTAATTACTCTTCTCTTGTAACCACTTGGCTTTCATCTGTCTCATCATCATTTTGCGCTGGGAGAGAAACTTTCAAATAATAGTTGTAATTCTACCACTTTTCCACTGTTGTGCGACATAATAGACACCCAGAGGATGGAATTGTGCCAAATGATGTTCCAGGGATTCGCCTTTGGTCGTGACTATATGTACACATAACGACGGATAATCACAATAATAATTGCATTTTACACAAACTGACAGTCAGAGTTGAGAGTGCTTCAGATGGCAGATGAGACGTCCTGTGAGGAGAGGAATGCTGTTTTAATTTCAGCTCTGTCCTTTGGATTTAGAATTACACACGCTACAATTCAAGGAGGAGATATTTATGCTCGGAAGTGTTGCACAGCTCAGTTTTAGCTGCTTTAAGTGCTCCTTAATCAACCAATTAATTTAATTAACGCAATTTGTAGGAAAAACTTAATTGAAGAGCTGAAAATTTTTAATTAATTAACAGATGAAGCATTTGCATGCAATAAATCATGTTCAATGTGCAATTCTTGATGGTGAGAATTCAAAAACACTGCAAATTTGGCTGTAATGATTCAAATATGACTTAAATTAGAGAAAATGTCTGTTTTCGGAGCTTTTTAACTTGTTTGTGCTGCTCAAACGACAGCATAACTAATTTGATTTATATAGAAAACGAAATATGCTTTGCAAAATTCATTATTCATTCTGTTTTTGTCGAACATGAAAGTGAAAAATTTAAGTGTTCATTAAAATGCAGTAATTTGCGATGTGCTGTTGAGCCAGCATATCTCCCCCTTCCAGAATGCGAAGCTGCTCAGAATCTCTGGGGCTGGTCATGGAGTCTCCCTCCCGAGAGAAGGACATCATTGTCATTTGTCCACAGGCTGGAACGTGTCTAAATTTGTCCAAGTATGCCGAAAATGTCTCCTCCACTTGAGGAACAATAATATTGACATTCCTGAATTCAAATGGCAAATATCCTCAAACTGTTTGCTACAATTGATGACATGCAAAGGACGCAGGACCCTTTCTCTCATCTCCCAACTCCAACTATTTTGCAATATAACCATTACTCGCCTTCCACATTAAATCCCACAAACTTGGATAAATATATTCCCTCTTTTGAGCCATTCAGGCGAAATATATCGCTCCACTGGGGAAATATTGTAATGAAGCGTCGGAATTGAAGGCCATCTGACTCTTCAACCCTGACAACGCAGATGAGTTAAATTGCCCAAGAGTTGTCCGACGATCCAGAAGGTCTCTCTCTCTCTCGCCTTAATCTATTTCGCAATCATACTTGGTCGTGATGCAATACATTGCAGACACTCTTTCGCCGAATGCCATGTACAAATTTTCAAGTCCTCGAGATTGTCTCAATTAATACCACATAATTGAATGGCGCACAGCAAGATGGAGAGACACATTTCAACCCTCGAAAATCCTCTCTGGTCTCACCACTTTTCGCTGCCGGAAGTGTGAGAAAATCCCTCGATAATCCTCTCTCTCTCTCTTTCCTCTCTTGAGGGAATGAAAATTCACCCGGAAGAATTGCTCGGGAAAATAAAAGAGACATAATTAAAAGAGGACATCGGTTTCTCAAATACGAGCTGCTGCGTGAGAATGAATCAAAAATACTGTCCCGCAAGCTTCGAGAGGAAGGCTTTGGGA